ACTCTTTCCAAAACCAGGATAAAATGGTAAAATATTTAGCAGAACTTCAGGATCTCTTAGCATTAATAACTTCCATGTTGCATCGTATATACACAATTTGGGGTAACGCACAATAACTATTTACACAGTGTACATACCAAATTACGTCAAGAAACAATTTATTCTGAACAGTACTGATTCACCATGCAATTCATACACCTTCTAAAATGGCTTCTGCTGTGTCTACAGATTAACAGTGCCAAATGGCATGCCATGTTCTGATAGGAGTGGAAAGGTATAATAAAAATGTCTTGCAGAGACTCAGTAAGACAAGATGCGTGAAACAAGCATGAAAGATTTGAACTCAATATTACCTGCATTGTACTAACACCTGATGGAAAAAAATATACTCTTAATCAAATGTTTTCTTCATCCACGAAGTGCCATGTTAGTTGAGGATTAGCAAGAATCTTCATTTTTTTGAAGGACTTTTCACTGTCACGCGCAATGAGGAGGATGGGTTTAGCTCATCAAGATGTATTTATTTGGCATGAACTCCTCATTTTTTGGTTACCAATATATCCTTTTTCCTCCAATAGCATTTTCTAAAACCTATCATCACATTGGTGCACACATTTCTAAAGGATAATCTAACATGGGTCCTGCTACAGAGTTCTGGCATACTTGGGTAGCCAGCACTTTCTTTTTAACCACACACAAAGGCATCGTATGACCGACAGAAATGCATTTAATTTCTTGAACAGACTTATCCCTCTGTCCAACTTTTTGTTATATAACAAACTCAGTCATAAATTACTCTGATGTAGAACTTTTGGGGACTTGTCAGTGTATGAGTTTATCATTGGAAAAAAAGGTTGATTCATTGTGGGGGAATACTCAGTTTTGACTAAATATTCTCAGGTTGAGGGTGGAAATTCTGCTAAGAGACTCATCTGCCCCAAAAGAACATGCTGCTAAGTGACGACATTTCAGCTTTGCTCTGATGAGGGCTGGGAAACATTTGTACTTGAAGAAAATGTCAAAGGACAAGAAAATCACTTCTGACCCAGCCCTACACTGTAGTCCATTTGATAGGCCTACTAATCAATCATTCCCTCATAAGGGCTGTCTTCTCAGCTAGTGCAAACTTCTGTTCCATCACAGACCATACTGGCTTTAGTTCCAGCCTGTAGGGCCACCAAGTTTCAGGTGGGGTTTCTAGGCAAGCACAGGAATCCTGTAGCGGTGCAAAAAATCAGCGACTGACATATGTACAAGGTGTTACATTTGCTTAACAACTTTCTCTTCTAATGACATTTTATCAGGATTTCACAGCCATTAGTATGAGAGACGTGTGGACTTTTGCATGGAAAAACCAGTCTCTTAACAGCTTCGATTATGTAAGAAACTGTCATTTTACTCACCATCCCATGATTAAGCCAGGCTGGTATAAAATTATCAAGCAGCTTTGGGTAAACCAGCTCTCTGTCATAGATATAGATGCTCCAAAACATTGTCACAACAAACTGGGAGGGTAAAAAGGGAAAGAAAAGATTTAGGAAGGTGTTACAATCAATTGGCTGATTTTACTAGCCTTTGTTTTACCTATCTACCTTTCTATATATAGCTAGAGCTCTATAGGCAGATATAGATATTACTCTTAAACCCAGGGTTGCTTTTACCCACAGTGGGGTCTTGGATTTTTATTTACATTCTCAGAAATTTTTTCCCCCTGTTTTTGACATTTGGAAAAATACCATTTGGAAAAATAATGTTTTGAATTATATGCATGTGGCCAAGTTACAATTGAATATTATATTTTAGTAGCAGATGTGGCTTATAAATAATGTTTTACCACTAACAGCACAGAAAACAGAGAAAAAAGGATATGCAATCGCACTTACAATATACAGAACATACTAGTATGTAGAGTATTAGGACTTCTATCATTTGGTGTGAGGTTTGTCCCTGAAACGACGGCCACTTCCATACCTTAGCACTTATTAAGTCCCATTTAAGCCCTGAAACCCCCTCCCCACACTTAAATTTTAAGGTACTACTACCTACATGATCCACAGAGATCCAAAGCGTAGATTTGTAACATCTTCCCCACTTCACTATATGAAACTTGCCTTGGATTTTGTCAAAGGGATTACCTTACTAGGAGCCCAAAGCATGGACATTTAACTGTCCTCCCTTTCTTTAGATCAAGGATAGCAGAACCAGTTTGGATTAAATAGAAACTTAGCCTCAACCTTTGCTCAAAGCTTGCACAAAATCTTTTAACATCTTCTGATGTTTAAAAAAAGCTGAATGCTTATTTCCATCATATTTTTTACTTTGACCCACCTCCACATTGCCTGATTCTATCCAAGACCATTGAAGTAGAAATACTGAAAACCATTTCTTATGATATTTTTGTCCAACTAAAAGCATTAAGTATTGGAAATTTGGAAGCTCTAAACTTTGAGGTTTTCTCAGCATTAATTTAACCCCCTCATCCCTTCCTGCTATTTAGCAGGAGTACAGCAGAGTCATACTGGTCTCAGTCAAAGGTGGAGACGTCAGAGTTGGGTCCCATAACAAAGTTAAGTCCACGGAAACAATGTACCTATTATGAAAAGCTTAAGCTCAGCTTGTTTTATAGGTTTTTTTCCTTTCACTTCTTGAAAATGCTGTGAAAAAAGTAAAAGAATATACAGAAACATTAATTAGCTTACCTTAAGTCTTGAATGTTAGAAAAAAATGCAGACCTATGTCTCCTAATTAAACACTATTTTACTTTGGACTTGAGTTTCATGATCACAGATCCCTGAGGAGTTACTATTTACTGGAGAAAAATTAAGAGCTGTTCCAGGAGACTTCCAGGGACCAGTTTCATGAGACATAAGGGCCCCTGTACACAGGATGGACAGGACCAAATTTAACTCTAGAACTAGAAGTATGACTCCCAACTGTCAATTCAGTGGAAGTATGTGCAGTTATGCTAATACCAGTGGAGACCATTGCCTTTGTGGAACAAATGAGGGTTAGTTTCAGGGGAGTAGGGAATGGAAACAAAAAATGTGGGATGCATAGCAAAGTAAGGGATGTTCAGGTCAGTAATGGATGTAGTGAGATTAGCATAATCCAATCTATATGCTTGCCTGTGAAAGGTTAAAATTTAGGTTAGACAGTCTATGGGATAGTCTATGGTTTGTTCTAACCACAGACATACACATTTAGAGCAGACAGCTACTTGGATTATTTGGACCAATAGTCTTTTCCCCTAATGAGCATGCAGTACCATAGTTTCTTGATTTCTGACTTGCTTGTCTATCTGTTATGAGTGCTATTAGTGCCTGCCTCAAATAAGTGTGAATCCTTCAACTCATGCATAAATACCAGGAAAAAAAAAGAGACAGCCTCTAATGGACAGTCTGAAAAATACTGAAAATATAAAGTACTCTGCAAGAAATCTCTCTTCTGGCCCATTACTTGCACTGGCATCATATTGCCCTTTAAACACCTGGGCTAGGGATAGACATTCAAAAAACCCCAGCCTGAATTGATTCAATCTTTGCAGATTAGACTAACCTACAAAGATTGAACTGGTTTGCAAGTGGATAGATGTTCGGCACATGCCTGCAGTGGCTCAGACCAGAAGCCCAGGGGTGCTAGAGCAGCCCTCCCTTCCAAAGCCGAGGGAAGCCGAGCTGAGGACAGGCGGCATGGCCAGGCCCCCACCCCCAGCCCAAGGGCGGCAGGGCAGAAAGGGAAGAGGAGGAGGAAGAGTCCCCATCCAGAACCTCACAGAGTCCCCTCCCCACCCTGGGAGAAGGAGGGGGAAGAGTCCCCCCCAGCACAGAACAGAGCCCCCCTCCCCACCCTGCAGGACAATGAACCCAGCATGGCCCTGTTAAGGTGAAGGGGGCAGGGAGATGGGTTAATGCCTCCCTCCGTCCCTTCCCTGCAGCTGGGGTCTGCCAGCTGCAGGTCCACTGCTGCAGTCCCCTCCCCTCTGCTCTGTGGCAGACAGGCTGAGCCCAGCTGCCGGGTGAAGAGGGGAAGGAGGGAAGAATTAACCCCTTCCCTGCCCACTTTGACTTAATGGGGCCCCGCCAGCTGGTGTTTCAGCTAGGGCCAGTCCCTGCTCTGGCTAGAGAGCAGAGGGGAGGGGCCAGCCCTGCTGTGGAGCAGAGAGCCCCACCCAGCCCAGAGAGCATGCCGGGATGATGGGGGAGTCTGGGTTATCTTAAACCAGCAGGGAACCTGGGACAGACATTGCATAAACTGGTTTGAGACAAATCAGTTAAGTCTGATACTACATTCAACCAGGTTTATCTCAAACCAGTTTTGGCCATTTTGAAACTGGTTTATGTGCACTGAATGTCTGTTCTGTTACAGGTTTAAACCAGTTTCTGATCACTTAAACCAGTTTACGTATAATGTCTGTCCCTAGCCCTGAAGACACAACTGTCAAATGGGAATAGGTGAACTGTGGAAAAAATAGTAGCAAAGCATCCCTTTTCTGTTAGTTCCCTAGAAATCCTGTTGAATTTCAGTGGGTCAATAAGACCTTGTTAAGATCAACTATGGTACATAGTTTGAAAACTATGAATGAGAGCCCTCTGTATGGAGGAAGTCTTACATTAAGCAAGGGCACCAAGGGTTAAGATGGATCATATCAGAATGAGTCTAGCAGACCTGGCAAAAAACTTGGGCCTGTGATTTCTGCATGGTGCAGAGTAAAACAATTGACTTTGCCAATGAGGTAAAGGTAAGGAAAGAGAGGAGGCACCATCTGTTTCTTAACCAAAGTCAGCCAATGGATAGAATTAGATCAACGTAGCTGGTTGCAACCATCTGGCGCTACAGACGGTAATTGCTGCTTAGCAAAGCACTACCACATGACAGGCATAAGGTAAAGAAAATGCACAGAAAAATAGAATGTTACAGGTCTTTCAAATCAAGACTCATACTTGAGGTGATGACACTGACCTCAGGCTTTTTAACTGGGGAAAGTCTTCTTTCACTGTTTGGCCAACGTCTCCAAAATGGTGCGTCTCCACTTTTGTATGAATGTAGACACAAGTTAAGTGTATTTCTAGGACTTGTTACCTGCCCTTCTAGTCTCTCTTAAACCCATTTACTTTTTAAACTGTTTTATTAATTGTTTTAAAGAGATTTTAAATTCTCTTGATACTCTTCAAGAGTTTTTATATCTGTATGCCATTGCATTAGTGGAAGTTCACTTCAGCAGTCTGAACTTCAGCGAGCTGTATAATAAAAGAAGAATCTTCTTTTACACAGCTCATGTTTTATAGGCTAGCCAGAATTGTGACCCCTGGGCTTCAGGAATCACAGGTAAGAATTCTGAATTGCTCCTCTCACACTGAACAGTTGGCAGGAATGGGGGCAAAAAGAGAAACGACTAAATGGCGTAGTGCTGCCTGGCTCACTAGGCTGGCCACCTGCAGAGGACAGGGTTGATCTTTAGAGGAACACTGCAGTTTGCGTGTTCACTTTTGCATCCGAGGCACAAATTTCAGTTCTCCTCCTGAGGTATCCCAGACATGGAGCTCAGCATGCAAAGAGCCACCATCATAGGCTTCTGCTCCTCTTGACTTGCAGTCCTGTCCATCAGGGGTATCAGGACTTGAGGGAGCAGAGGGGGAGGGTGGAAGATAAGAATGGAGAAAGAGAGTGGCCAGAGCATGAGCCACATCAGCAATCCTCAGGATACAATAGCTGAAGTTAGGGTTAGTGCCCACTGCACCTTCTGCCACCCCTCCCACCATGGAGCATTACGGGTGCAGACATAAGTGACAGTTTTCATCCAATCTGGTCACAGAAAGCGATCTACAGCCATGACCAAACACAAGTTCATGGCTTCAGACCACTTAAAAAATGGCCAATCAGGTGAAAATCTGAGCCCTCATTGCATGAGGGGTCAGATGAAGACATTTCAAAATGGAGCATCTTCTGTAACTTGTCTGCACTGCCTCCCAGCCTGTCACTGTTTTCAGAATGGGAGGGGGAAAGGGAGCAGAGGGAGTTTGGTCTGAGGTTTTTGCAGTCCCTGCTCAAGGGTGGGGAGGGTGTATTGGAACCCCACCCTCCAGCAGTGGCTGGAGAACCCCTAGAACCAGGTCTCTCACAGGGACAGGCTGGGAGACAGGAATGGCTGTAGCTAGGGGAAACAGGCTGTAGAGTGTCAGCCACCATCTTGATTCCCTTCTCCCCCCCCACAACCAACAGTGAAGTTCTGTTTGGTCTGGGGGATCGTTGTAACTCAGAATCCTTCCTGTAAAGTGTTCTTAGTTACAGTGGGGAGCTGAACTTCTGTCTATGCCCTTAAAGAGTATTTTGAACTAAGGTGTTATTCCAAATGAGTAATGATGGATAAAAGTCATGCTTTGTGTAACCCAGATGTAGGCAATTATTTCAGCTCGAGGGCCACTTAACAAGTTTTGGGAAGCTGTTGAGGGCCACAAGGGTAGCCCCACCCCTTGACATGTGCTCCGCCCCTGGTCCCTGCAAGTCC